TCCCTAGAGGCAGCTCTTGAGGTAAGGGTTGTAGGGTGGGTACTTTACTTGGAAGGTACTGAGAACATGAGTGGGGAGAAAAGAAGTGTTACAGAAAAGGAAGGTAGCTACTAAGCAGCAGTTAATTAAACCTCCATGACTACTGGAGCTTAATCTCACAGAGAAACTGGGCAACAGTGTAAAGCAGTTCCTTAGTGTTATTGCACAGGAGGGCAGAGGAGCTGGGTGAGTACACCTGGTACAGTCATTGATTGAATATTGCCTAGGGTGAAGGTGGAGTATGTTAATGTAGACAAAGCCTGCAGACCTAGAAGAAAGAGGCTAGTAATTAGAAGTCAAGGTCAGAGAGCTATAGACAGAACACTTTAAGTATCAGCTGTAGAGAAAACGTTTGGGGACATTGCCACTGAGTTTGGGAACCAGGATTGCTTGATTTCTAGTCTTAGCTTTACTATTTCTAAATAATGCTATTGTGAGCTAATCCCAATCTCCCTGCATTTCTGCAAAAGAGATTGTTGAGGCAGATAATTTTTAACCACCCATCCCTTGTGATATTTTACAGACTTGGAATTTTCCATGATGTCAAATTATTACACTTCTTAGGGTTGAGCCCATATGTTTGAGGATTCGAGGCCTGTCTTAGTTTCTACCACATGACACTGTTGGGGCTCAGAACACAATACCCTAAAGGAGGTCACCTTGGCATGGCGAGTATTTTGAACTGAAGGATATTGGAAGGGCCTCAGAAGCAAAGTCTCTGACCTTCCTCTGTTCTCCTGCCTCCCACACCTCTTTCTTCCTCAAACCAAGTCATAGATACTAGAATTTGTCTTCTTCAAGGAGGTCATAGAAACTAAAACTCTTCTCCCTCAAATCAAGGCATAAAACGTCAAAAGGCCACCCTCTTTATTCTCCTTTCTTTTACAAATACTGTAATTTCAGACAGGTCCTGTCCTATACCAGGGGGAAGGAATACTATGCAGAAAAGCCAAGAAGAATATGAACAGAAAGGCTTTGCTAGACTTCTCCTGTCAATTTCCACTAGACGATACCCTTTTGTCTAATCACATTTTTACACAGTTGTCTATTCTTCATGTGACCTAAGCATAAAATTAGTTTCCCCTGGATCTTTGGGTTTTCATTTCTGAGGACTCCCATGTGACATAAAACTGCAATTAAATACATTTGTTATGTTTTCCGTTTGTCAACCTGTCTTTTGTTACAGGAGTATTGATCATGATCCTACGATGGGTCAGGAAAAGTATCATCCCTCATTATCACTAACCCTCCTTGTGCTTCACACACCCTTCTCACACCTGCCTCCACAAATGGGTAAATGGCACCCACATCCACCTACCTCTTTAAGATTCTGGTTTCTTCTTGCCATACAGTCAATACATTCAAAGGCATCTTTGTTCTGTCACCATGATGCATGTCAAATCTGATCATTGTCACCCTACCCAAGCCATTATGACCCCTAGCTAGCCTGCAAAATAGCATTCCATTATTTTCCTATAATCTTTTCTTCACAAAAGACCCAGTGTGCCTTTTACAACATGAATCTGTTTTGTTGCTTCAGAACATTTCTATTATAATGAGACTAAAATTCATATTCTTTATCATGACCTATAAAGCACACCCTTTATCTTTCTCCTCTGTTTAACTCTCCCATATCATTTCTCACCACTCTTCCTTTACTTTTTCTATTTCTGATACTCCAGCCATCTTTCTGCCTCTATTACAAAACAATATTGCTCTCTTCTCACTGTCTAACTTACCTAAAATGCTTTTCTTCAATCTCAGCAACATTATGTCCCTTCAGATTTCACCCTAAATTCTCCTTTTTCAGTGAAAATAAAGTTGTACTCTCAGTGATCATTATCAATTCCACATTTTATTTTATTTATTTTTCTTCAGAAAGAAATTATTATTTATTTATATATATTTATTGAGACAGACTCTCACTCTGTCACCAGGCTGAAGTGCAGTGGTGTGATCTCAGGTCACTGCAACCTCCACCTCCTGGGTTCAAGCAATTCTCCCGCCTCAGCTTCCTGAGTAGCTGGGACTACAGGTGCACACCATCACACCCATTTAATTTTTCCATTTTTAGTAGAGATGGGATTTCATGCTGGACAGGATGGTCTCAATCTCTTGACCCTGTGACCCGCCTGCCTTGGCCTCCCAAAGTGCTGGAATTACAAGTGTGTGAGCCACTGTGCCAGGCCAAATTATTATTTATTATCAGCAAGTATCATTTTAAGAAAGCATTATTATTATTAAGAAAGCATTATTATTATTATTATTATTAGAAAGTATCCTTCATTTTAGTTTTCTTTTTATTTTCTACCTTCTCCCAGTGGAATTTAATTTCCATGAAAGCCAAGCTTTAAATTAATTCATTCTTTTCTGTGCCCTCAATACTCAATGCAAGAAACTTGGTAATGGATAGACACTCAATACATACTTGTCTAATAAATTATGACTTTTTCATAAATTGCTGATTTGAACTGAATAGAACTCCTAATTTTTAGATATATTTATTGATACCTTGGAGTTCAAGGATATGAGATACCATATACCTGGTATAAACCAACTATGTAGAAGATACTGAGGTGTCACTCTACAAAATTAACTTCAAGGAATGTTTTGGAAGGCAGAATCGTTACTTGGGGAATCCCCAAATATGTCCATAATCTAGTCCTGTGAATATGCTAGATTATATGACAAAGGAAAATCGAGGTTGCAAATGAATTTAAGGTTGTTAGTTAGCTGTCTTTAGAGAGATTGCAGTGAGTAATCTGGGTAGGCTCAATATAATCACAAGCATTCTTACAAATGGAAGAGAAAGGCAGAAGAGAAGAGGAAGACACATACAGAAGTATGGCCTGAGAATATTGAATACTTGTATCCTCACTTTTGAAAATAGAAACCACAAGCCAAGGAGTGGAGGTGGCCTGATGACACTGGATAAAGCCCTGCTGAGATCTTAATTTTAGTCCAATGAGATCCCTTTTGGACTTCTAACCTCAAGAACTCTACAATAATAAGTTTGTGTTGTTTAAGCTGTTATATTGGTGATGGTTTGTTAAAGCAACCATAGGAAATTGATACAACTAGTGAGGGCAGTGATACAACATCTGACACTGGAGAAAAAGAAGAATGATAAAATAACCTAGAGAACTAAGAAATATTATTTCTGCCTCAAATATAAATACATGTCTTAAGTAGTTCCAAGCTATGATAGTTTTGTGTAAATGTTTTATGTCTAAATTTATTATTATCTGTGAATAGATCACAGTAAGAACCCCATGAATTCTTACTATTCTCATTTTACAGATGAAGGACCTGAGGTAATGAAAGGCTAAGTACTTTGTCAAAAGCTGCACAAAAAATAAGCAGCAGATTCAGGACAGGAAACTATATGAGAGTGACAATCATCTTTCTTTGAGGACTGTGGAAATATATAATCCTGAAGGTGGTCAGTGCTCTGGTTTGGCTGTGTGCCAACATCCAAAATGCTAACAGTGGTGTAGACAATGAAGTCCAGGCTGAGGTGGTCTCAGACGGAGTTGTGGAACTTCTTGGGAATTGAAGCAAATGTGACTTTTCCTTGCTTTAACAAAGAGACTGGCAGCATTTTGCCTCTGCCCTAGAGATCTGTGAAACTTTGAACTTGAGAGAGATAATCTGAAATTGTAACTTATGTTTAAAATGGAAGCAGAACACAAAAGTGTGAAAAATTTGCAGCCTGATAATGCAATAGAAAAGAAAACCAAATTTTCTGGGGGAAAATTCAAGCCTACTGCACAAATTTGCATAAGTAAAAAGGAGCTGAATGTTAATAGCCAAGACAATGGGGAAAATGGGTCTCCAGGGCATGTCAGAGACCTTGGTGGCATCCCCTTCCATCACAGGCCTGGAGGCCCCGTGAGAAAAAAAATTGTCTCATAGGCCTGGCCCAGGGCACCCACTGTGGTGTGAAGCCTCAAGACTTGGTTTCCTGCATCCCAGTCACTCCAGCTCCAGCTGGGGCTAAAAGGGGCCAAGGTACAGCTCAGACTGTTGTTTCAGGTGTTGCTTCAGAGGGTGCAAGCACCAAGCCTTGGCAGCTTCCATGTGGTGTTGGACCTGCAGGTATATAGAAGTCAAGAATCAAGGTTTGGGAACTTCTGCCTAGACTTTAGAGGTGGTATGAAAACGTTGAGCTGTCCAGGCAGAGGTTTGCTGCAGGGATTGAGCCCTCATGGAGAACCTCTGCTAATGTAGTGCAGAAGGTAAATGTGGGGTTTGGACCCCTCACACAGAGTCCCTACTGGGACACGGTTTAGTGGAGTAAGAGAAGAAGGCCACTATCCTCCAGGACACAGAATGGTACATCCACCAACAGCTTACACCATGTGCCTGGAAAAGCCACAGGCACTCAATGCCGGCTACTGAGGGAGCTGCCCAAGGCCATGGGAGCCTACCCCTTGCATCAGTATGCCATGGATGTGAGACATGGAGTTAAAGGTAATCACTTTGGAATTTTAAGCTTCAATGAATACCTCACTGGGTTTCACTGGACTCTCATGGGACCTGTGGCCTCTTTGTTTTGGCTATATTTTTCCATTTGGAATGAGTGTGTGTTTAACCAATGCCTGCACCCCCATTGTATCTTGGAAATAACCAATTTGTTTTTGATTTTACATCTCATAGGAAGAAGGGACTTGCCTTGTCTCAGATGTGACTTTGGACTTGAAATTTTAGGTTAATGTTGGAGTGAATTAAGACATTGGGAGACTGTTGGGAAGGCAAGATTGGCTTTGAAATGTAAAAAAGACAGGGTCTGTCCCCATCCAAATCTCATCTTAAATTGTAATCCTCATGTGTCAAGGGAGGGAGGGACCTCTAATCCTCACATGTTGAGGGAGGGAGGTGATTGGATGATGGTGTGGTTTCCCTCATGCTGTTGTCATAATAGTGAGTGATTTCTCACAATTATGGTTTTGCAAGTGCCTCAGTTCCTCCTTCACATGCTTCATCTCACCTGCCACCATGTAAGACATGTCTGGTTCCCCTTCTGCCATGATTGTAAGTTTCCTGAGGCCTCCCTACCTATATTGAACTGTGAGTCAATTAAACCTCTTTTCTTTAGAAATTACCCAGGCTCAGGCCGGGCGCGGTGGCTCACGCCTGTAATCCCAGCACTTTGGGAGGCCGAGGTGGGTGGATCACGAGGTCAAGAGATCGAGACCATCCTGGTCAACATGGTGAAACCCCGTCTCTACAAAAAATACAAAAAATTAGCTGGGCGTTGTGGCGCGTGCCTGTAATCCCAGCTACTCGGGAGGCTGAGGCAGGAGAATTGCCTGAACCCAGGAGGCGGAGGTAGCGGTGAGCTGAGATTGCGCCATTGCACTCCAGCCTGGGTAACGAGAGCGAAACTCCATCTCAAAAAAAAAAAAAAAAAAAAAAAAAAAAAAAAATTACCCAGGCTCAGGCAGTTATTTATAGCAGTGTGAAAACAGACTAATACTGTCATGAAACCAATAGTCAATAAATTAATGAAAACTCAAAGAGAAAGAGTGGCTTATAGTCTAATTCCATTTTGTTAGTATAATCAATAGATCTAAAAGTGATTTAATATAATTATGCCTTTAAAAATATTTACTTTTTTTTAATCCAAAGAAGTGTTTGTAAACAACTGAAACACAGAAAAGAGTAGATAAAAGAAGTTACACTAACATTGGCAAAGCTCTTTCAAGTACTCAATATGTAAAAAGAAACTCTAATTCAGAAAGGAGAATGTACATTTCTCAAACAAATATAACACGTTATTTGAGAGAGTTACAATTACTGATTGTAGCAAAATGACATTATTCAATTCCTGACACTCTGATTCTGTGTTCATCAATCTTATGAATTATTTTTCTGTTTTCTTTACCAAATATTAATACATAAATTAATAAATTTCAGTATACATCTATATATTATCTCTAGTGCTTACATCCACCCCATCAGGTTGGTACTTATTAAACCCATTTTGCAGATTGGAAACAGAAGATTAAAAATAACACTTTTTTAAGTGTCATAAAAATCCTTTATTTCCCACATGTTTTTACCAAGAAAAAAATGTGTCTCCTAGTGAGATTGAGTAGATACACAGAAAATTGGCCTTTTAGAGAGAGCAAGTAGTCAGGTAGTTCTCATCATAAATTAATACATTCATAGTCTATATGTTTATTTTTTAGCTGTTTTGTGAGCAGTTTTATGAACCCAAAATGGAGTCCAGAGCTGGGCTTAGACAGATTGGAGCATAAGGCCACAGCTGCTGTGACGACATCAATTATGGTCAGTCATCCTTTACTAAATGACATCCCTCTGACCCTGCACAATTGTGTTCTTGTAACAGAACACAAGTCTTTCAATGACAGTTTTTTGTTTTTTGTATTCTTCAGAATACACAACAATGTACCTGAGGAAAACAGAAAGTGAATAACATACAAGGCATGATGGTTACTGTAACTTTCATGGGAATGCAATTCTTGGCTTATGTATTAGCTATCAAAGCTCTGAAACCCAAACGAAATTGAATGGGTAGGATTATCAGACAAAACATCAGACATCCAGTTATATTTTAATTTGACATGAACAATGAATACTTTTTAGTATAACCATCTATCAAATATTGCATGGCACTAGCCCTGTGAATGTCCACTCTTGCTATTTTGGTTGGGGTACATTTAGACTAAAAAAGTTTTTGTTTTCTATTTGCAATTAAAACTTAACCAGCCATACTGACTTTTTATTTACTAAATCTGTCAGCCTTAGAAATGGGGGCTGGGCTAAAAGCAAATTTGTATGGAAATGTACAGTCAAACAGCTCAGTTGATGAATTTGAAGCTAGGTTTCTGGTGGAAATCCAAGAATCACTACAATTTACATTTTCAAGGCTACATCAAGGCAATACCATATAGAGCAATGCTTTAGAACATCTTTCAGTGGATTCAAACAGATTTGAGTCCTGGCTTCTCTAACTTATATCCTACTGATGTGACTACCTGCAAGTTATTTTTCATGTCTTAATTTCAATCTCCTCATAGTTAAAAATGGAGATAATAATCTCTTGGTGTTTTATAAGAATTAAATGATATAATTCACAAAAATAAATGTTAAAATACCATTGGGTGAAACATATACAAGAATCCCCTTGATACTGTTTCTCATGGCTATCATTTTTAGCACATCTTAGAATAACTAACAGTTAAAAGCATGTCAATAAAGCACATTGTTGACAACTACATGTAGAAAACACTAAACATCAAATCCTCAGTACAGTTAATGAGAAACGGTCTAAGGCAAAAGGGACTGAGGTTTGGAAGGTAGAGAAAGACTTTCACCTCTCATTGTATAGCTTAATGTACTGAAACTTCTTTTATTTTTTAAACTTTTACCCTGCATATGTATTGCTTATTGAAAATGTTTAACAGGAAACCATCTAGCAGTCCCTGCTGAACCTCAATATCAGGCGTCCTTATAACCAGCACTGAGATTAGTTTTATTTTAGAGACCACTGAGGAACAGAGAAAAACACAGCAGAGATTCAGGGGCAAGCATGGGCTGCAGCTTCTTGGACACTTAAGCACCTGAAATAGAAACAGGGAAACAAGAATAGCTGTAAGTTTAGCTCATCTGCCCCATCGCAATATTTGTCACAAAGAGAATCAGTTCAATTTTGGTAACTTCCTTCTTAAGAGTACTGTCCTCCCCACAGTGACATATTGGCTGCGCAGTTTCATCAACAGTGAAATAGCCAAAGCTGACTGTATAACTTTTATTCTCAAAGAAGAAGCATTCTATATTATCATAGCATCCACTAGTTAATTAAGAACTCTACTCATGAATAATGTTAAGAGAGCTGACATACTTTCAACATCAAGTGTCATTATTCAAGCCATAAACACCACAGATGTTTGCTCAGTAATACTCAGGTGTGTCTTAGATTGGTGCAGGACACTTAATGTCTACTCTAAAAATAACTCTAAACTCTATTGTTGAAAAAATTTATAATTGTTGAACCACTACTATTGTTTTCAGATACAATTGCATTTTTCAGGTTAAAGAAAAAGTTTGTTGCATTGAATACTGAACAGCACTTTCATTTTATTGTAGTTTAAATGTAAAATAAGTCCATTAACTATAGTGGAAGACACTGAGTACTGGAATATTGGAGACACAGTTTGTTAAGATTGTTGTCTATTAACAATAAGATATTAAAATAACTGGTCCTTAGATATGTTAATCCACATTGTCTGGGGAATCTCAGTAAGTTTTTCAGTGTTTTGGGCAAGTAAACCAGTTTTGAAGGTAACAGCAATTGGTCTAATTCTTGGCTATGGCAGTCACCTGGTTTATATTCTAGCCACTTGGTGTCTTGTTTTTCATACCTGACTGAGTTTTTCTGAGATCCGTAGGTAAAGCCGTGATCATGGTAATATCACATAGCAAGAGCTTGAGGACAAAGGATCCAATTCTTCTTTCTTCTCCTTTTAATTCCTTCTCTCTCACAGCATCTTTACATTTATGTATGGTGTTATTACTTTTTTTAGATTTAGCAATAGTGGTATTCACATATATTTATATCCCTATATCATTTACTTTTTATTATGAAATATTAAGTAATTATGAGTAGAGAAAAAAGTACATTATGAGTAATAATAAGTTATATGCAATAGGATAGGGGACTCATATAAAGTAGAAAACCTAAGAATGGTTTTCTGAAATTACAATGTTAAGTTAGAAATAACCACTTGCCCATTTAGGAGCGTTAAGTGAAAAGCGAGCTATTTCTGCCTGGACAGTTCAGAGGTGGCACCTTGATGTTGGCATATGAAATTTGGAAGTTATGTAGATGGCAGAGATTGTGGAAAGGGCATTGTACAAAGGGAAAAGTAGAGTAAAATCACCAAGTTTGGAAATAATGTAGCTAGATATACACAGGATATGTAAATACTCCATTCAGGCTATAGCATAGAGTACAAGAAAGGGAAGAGTGGGAGGTAAGTTTGGAAAAACAGCTTGGCAAGAGCTTTAAAGAGCTTTTATTCAATTAAAGGAGTTGGAAATGCTTTCAGTTAGCAATGGGGAATCATTGAAGATTTTTCAGTTGGGGGTAGGAAAGTGCATGATCAGAGTTTTGTGTTAAGGTTATTTATCTGGCAACATCGAGTTATGTAGATTGGAGCAGAAACAGACTAGAGGCTGGGAAACACTTTACAATGTGCATTTGTCAGTTAGAGTAGACAATAATGAGTCCATACACTTGAGCAGTGGAATTAGCAATGGTGTTTCATTTAGGTAGAATTGCAGTTGTCCATGGAGGAAATGAGGACTACTGGGGATCTCCTGCTTCCCAAACAGAGTAGAATTGCAGGTATTAGAGACTGGGAAGGGTAGGGGGCAGGAAAGAATAGGGAAGAGTTTGTTAACAGCTACAAATTTCAGCCAGATAAGACTAATAGTTTCGAGTGTTCTATAACAGTATCCTCAACCTTTTTGGTAAAGGGGACTCGTTTTATGGAAGACAACTTTTGTATGGCAGGATGGGTAAGGGTTGGGGAGATGGTTTGGGTATGAAACTGTTAGGCATTAGATTCCCATAAGGAGCGCACAACCTCGATCCCCTTGCATGTGCAGTTTACAATAAGATTTGTGCTCCTATGAGACTCTAATGTCGCTGCTGACCTGTAAGGCAATAACAATTCTCTCTCATCTGTCACTTACCTCCTGCTGTGTGGCCCTGGTCCACATCCTGGGAGCGGGGACCCCTGCTTTATAGTACTATAGGGTGACAATAGTTAATACTAATTCACTTTATATTTTTAAACTTCTAGAAGAGAGGATTTTGATTTTTTTTTTTTTTTTGAGACAAGAGTTTTACGCTTGTTGCCTAGGCTGGAGTGCAATGATGCAATCTAAGCTCACAGCAACCTCCACCTCCTGGTTCAAGTGATTCTCCTTCCTCAGCCTCCCAACTAGCCAGGATTACAGGCATGTGCCACCATGCCCAGCTAATTTTGTATTTTTAGTAGAGACAGGGTGTCTCCATGTTGATCAGGCTGGTCTTGAACTCCTGACCTCAGGTGATCCACCTGCCTTGATCTCCCAAAGTGCTGGGATTACAGGCATGAGCCACTGTGCCAGACTGGATTTTGAATATTTATAGTGCAAAAAAAATGTTTGAGGTAATGAATATGTTAATTAGTCTGATTTGATCCTTATACATTGTCTATATGTATCAAAATATCACTCTGTACCCTATACATGTGTACAATTATTATGTGCCAATTTAAAATAAAGATAATTTTTAAAAGACAGGCAATATATCAACAAATAAGAAAGTGATTTTAAGAGAAAAAAAAACACAACTGTATCTTAGTTTAGGTCGTTATAACAAAGTACCACATACTGGGTTGGTTATAAGCAACAACAATTTGTTTGTCATGGTTCTGAAGGTTTGAGTCCTAAAAACAGTTATTCTTCCATAGGGGAAACAGAGACACAGCTCTCTGGGGTCTTTTTTTTTTGGGCACTAATTCATTTCATGAGGCCTTTGACACTCATGAACTAATTACTTCTCAAAGATTTCACCTCCTAATACTATCACATTGGGGATTAGAATTTAAACTATAAATTTTGGGGGACACAAACAGTCTATAGCAAATGAGGACTTGGATTAAAGAAATGTGAAATATGTATTGTAATTCCTTAAGCATTCTAAATTCCTTGATTACCCCCCAAAGCCATGTTCTTTAATATCTTTGGGCATTTTTTATTTGCCATTTCTTCTTCCTGAAATGTCTTTTTCCACTTCCTCTCTTAGTGAAATTCTAGTCATTTTCTGAGAAACAATCGAAACATTTCTCCCTTTTGGAAACTTTCCGTGACTTTGTACTTCTTTTATTTACTTATTGTAATAGTTTATTCGCACACTGCTATAAAGAAAGACCCGAGACTGGGAAATTTATAAGGAAAATAAGTTTAGCTGGCTCATGGTTCTGCAGGCTGTACAGGAAGCATGACAGCATCTGCTGCTGGGAAGGCCTTAAGAACGTTTACTCATAACAGAAGCAGAAGCAAGAGCCAGCACAGTACATCACAGGAGCAGGATCAAGACAGGAGGGGTGGGGGTTGGCAGTTCCACACACTTTTAAACAACCAGATCTCTTGAGAACTCACTATTATGAGAACAGCACCAAAAGGATGGTGCTAAACCACTGATGAGGGATCCACCCCCATGATCCAATCACCTTCCAGCAGGCCCCAACTCCAACACTGGGGATGACAGTTGAAAACGAGATTTGAGTGGAGACACAGATTCAAGCCCTATCATCTTACCCCTGGCCCCCTAAATGTCATGTTTTTCTCACATTGCAAAATACAATCATCCTTTCCCAACAGCCCCCCCACCCCAAAGTCTTAAGTAATTCCAGCATTAATTCAGAAGCCCAAAGACCAAAGTGTCATCTGATACAAAGCAAGTTCCTTCCACCTGTGAGCCTATAAAATTAAAAACAAGTTGGTTGCTTCCAAGATACAATGGGCATACAGGCATTGAGTAAATACCCCGATTCCAAGAGGGAGAAATCAGCCCAAAGAAAGGGGCTACAAGTCCCATGCAAGTTCAAAACCTAGCAGGGCAGTCATTAAATTTTAAAGCTCCAAAATAATCTCTTTTGACTCCATCTCCCACATATAGGGCACACTGATGCAAGGGGTGGGCTCCCAAGCACTTGGGCATCTAAGTTTTGAAACTTGTTTGAATATCTAATATATATCAGGTGTCATTGTAAATATGGTACTTTGTCCTCATTCTCAAGAATTTTTTTTTTTGTCTATTGACGAAGATAGATATATTAGTCCATTTTCGTACTGCTATGAAGAAATACCTGAGCCTGGGTAATTTATAAAGAAAAAGAGGTTTAATGGACTCATAGTTCCACATGGCTGGGGAGACCTCACAATCATGGCAGAAGGTGAAGGAGGAGCAAAGGCACATC